GCTTGGCTAGCTCAGAGCTGATTCTCTTGCTGCACTCTTCTTTCACCCTCTCGCCTCAGGATGATGTGTGCATAAGGCACAGATACACACACACACACATGCCAATGTTGAGCTAAACATACTGAAAGAGATTCTGGTACACACGCTTTGAGGTAAAAATAAATTATTTAGTTTCAGTGGTATAATGTCTTTTCTGTGATATGCAAAATATGTAGTTGTAAAAACACAGATCCATCCTGCTTCCAGCAGTAGAAATCAGATTTCATTGGCTAGCTCAAATACACATAGAATACATGCCTTGTATTTCCCTAACGCCCCCCACGTGGACTACATGCATCTCACCAATCTGCCCCCTCCATCCGACTCGTCTTCGGGCAATCATATGAGGAATGCTCCACAAAATAGCTGAAATTGTGAAGGTATAACAAGGACAAACAGGTGTTCCCACACACATGCACATACAAACCCAAGTACTTATGCTGTGCCCACATAGGATCTTCATTCTCACGCCATCATCAGGTCAGGAGATAATTGATTTATGGCTGTGTTCTAGCCCGTGGTATTATTCAACCTGTCGTCTGATTGGCCTTCAGGATTATGTGGCTATAAGAGCCAACCTATAAGAGCATGTCTCATTTCTCAAGAGGGTCCATGACAAGAATGTTTATTTTCCCTGAGATGACTTTGTGTTCTGTTTACACTGTTGTGTGCTTAGTTAGGCATAAGAATGATTAGTGTCAGGGTTTTAGTTTTGAAGTGCCTGCCTTTCTCCAATCTTTTCTGGACTCTCTTAAAAGTAGCGCATTTTTGAACCCCCTGCTCTGTGGTTTGGTTTTAAAAATAATGGGGTAATACAAACAGAACTTAGCACGACCTCCGCTTGATGTTCATATTTTACACGGATGTTTACATTTTTGTCTCGGAGAATAGCAGAGTGTCACACAAAAGCAGGTGAGAAATGGCACTGGATTTAAAACTTTAGTCTGCCTCTTTGAAAAGTTCACAATGACAGGATTAGATCCTGTCTTAATCCTCCGTTTATCACCGCTGCAGAGAAATGATAACCTGAAGGTCAAACCTTTTTTGGTTGTTTTTCACGCGCTGAATTAAAGTAATCTCCTTGAAGTGTGTTTAAAACATAAGGTTAAACTTTTAGGAGGCTGACAAATATTTACAGCCCAGTTTTTATCTCCTGCTCTTTTGAACTATTTGGATCATATTATAACAATGTGCTGCCTAGTTTGACAGTTTGACCGCGGTTCACAAGCAGTGATTGGCATGACTGACAGCTGCTCTAGAGACTCTTCAGCTCTTATTGGTTGTTTACTTTACATGTGGTAATGCCATTAGCAGAGCTACAAGGCAATAGAGTGGGCAGAAGAATATGTTTTTCTTTCACAGATAATCTCTCATTTAGTGCTGTGTGAATACAGTGACAGTTGCAGCAAATATGAGAAAAAATATATTTTATAAAAGTAGTAGCAACTTGAGCTTTAACAAAAAACAGTAACAATTCCTACAGACTAGTCTTGGTTCTGCACACCTGCCCCTCGCACAGCCAGCTTCACCACTTTCATTCAACCACACACTCTCTCTTCCACATGCACAGTGCTGTAGACCTCCCAAACACTTCAGTCTGGACATGATGTCATGGGGCTGTATGTTGTCTGAAATATGTGCTTTGAATCTCTGGAATTTATTTTATAGACATCTATTTTTTGCTAAATAAGGAAGAAGCATATGGTTCGCCTTAGCTACATCTGCCACACTGGCTAAGTACTTTAAGTATTTATACATTTAGCTTATAAACAGGTTCAAGCATGTTTGCTTGATAGAATGAATCTGCCTTGACATTTATAGCTTTACTGCTTCTTAGAATTAACACTGCTTTACTGAGTCATTTTATTTTGTTGCTACAAACACTAGTGTACTTGCCAATGTTGATTATACTGGATTGAGCAATGTTGAAAGCTCTGGGCTTATCTACAGAATATAAAATTTAAATTTAAATATTCTTGCCATTACCCTCGCTGAGATACTCTAATTTGGCAGACTTTGTTTTATAAAACAATCCACTTTACAGGTTTGAAATTTACAAGTGTTCTAATAAATGTCTGAACACGTCATGTTGTGCAGACGGTACTGTATGCAAATGAATTAAACAGTAATTGTCCGCTGAAGAATCGCAGCACATGCAAACAGCATTTGGCTTAGTGTGTTGATGGGGCTGCACGACCAAAAACAGTTGCTATGTTCTATCTTTTCTCACTGCCACAATGTAATGTGTGTGTGGCATGTTTGAATGTGTATGTGTGGCTCTGTGCATGTGTGGCTGTGAGCCGCTCTACCACATGTGAGCGTGTTTTATGGGTCCAGAGGGAGTTAAGGTTAATGCAATAAAACAGCCATCCCCGTGCCCAACGTCTGCCTTGAGAGAGGATTTAAGACCAAAATGTAGTTAGGAAAATGTAGGAGAGTAGGGCCAGAGTGAAGAGTGAAGTGCGAACAGTGCAATGAAGATGAAAAATGGTCAGGTAGTTAGTTACGCTGTTAGAAAGCATCTCCTGGGTTCCCGAGCTATTGACAATCCAGCTGTCCAGGAATAGCTAGCTGTTATGTGAAATCTCCATTTAAACTCCATTTATAAGGCACATGTGATGACTGACCTGCCTCACGCTGGAAGGAAAGTGTATTTTTAGCAGGTTGGCAAGACACATTTTGTGACTGTTAACACATATTTCAGCTGCTTCCAGACTTACTTATCCAAACTCTTCCCAGCATGTGGACACACCCCTTCAAACAACCATTTAAACACAGATGCTTGCCAGTTCCTCCCCAAGTGAAGTTTATGTAGTTGTTTGTGCATTGCATTGTCTTGGCCCCCCCACAAGCTGTTCTGAACACCTAAATTGCTGTGGCATTGTTCCCCTCAATGTGAGAAAACATTACGCAAGTGTTTTAATGTTCTTATTAGTAGAGATTTCCGGAGCAGATCAGCAGGATTAGTATCCTGTGTTTATTGCTGTATTATTTAATGGATTGGTGAAGCCTATATAAGGCCCAGCCAACTATTGATCCTTTGTTTATTGTAACTCATTGTGCTCTGTTCTGTGTCCCTAATAACACTTGAAAATTGCACTTTTTCAATTTGCAATTTCACAATATCACTCAGCCCTTTTTGTACTTATTTTTGAAGTACAAAAAGTATACTTAGTCAAGCAATGTGATCATCCATCTGTTCTGGGGAATAAATAGGAGAGTGTAGGGAAACGTTGATTCCTTTTAATATCGTATATTGTGTGTTGTGACACTCAAAAACACTATCAATTTTTAATCAAACATGTACAAGCAAATATTTTTTGGCAGTGGTTAGTTATCTCCATTAGACATAAACCTGGAGGGGATGATTCATATGGTTGTGTGTGCGTATATGTGTTTGTGTTTCTGTTTGTCTGTAGCTAATCTCACAAACTACTGGACCAAGCAGCCTAATATTTTATATACGTCGTTGACTGCTCACTCCTCACTCATCTTATCTGGCTGTTAGGGGCCAGTGTTTCCAACTATGTTGTGTTGCCGACAAGGTTAGTGCCAAAAGTATCAAGGATTTGTTGCTGTTTCAGTTATTAAAATACATTCATCCTCATAATTACAATGTACTGTATCTATTCTGTAATTCACATGCAGAGCCTATTAGCAGGAAAACACAGTCTGCTCTGTGCATGTGCTGTGGCTCTGTCACAAATAGACGACGCTTCTGAAATGTGCTGCAGCCCGTCTGACGTTAAAAGCATTGTCTAGAGTGGCCATGATCAGCTGGGGTTGGCTGCATGGCTGCGTGGCAGAGTCTGCACTCTGCTTAGGGCACTTTTTTAGTTTTGTGATGTGTTTAACCCTGCAACCACTAGATTCTTTGGTGTTGTAATGTATCTTCAGTAAACTGACTCCTTCACTCCAATTTAACAACATAATGCTAGCATAAACATAAAGAACACAAGCCTATGAAACAGGCAGAGTCATAAAGGGCAAACCGCTAGCACCAACAATTTTCCTAAAACTAGATTTCAAAGAATTTTAATATGAGGTCATGCTTACAGGATTGTAACATATCTCAGTATATTGAATCGTAATGCCTGTATTGTGATACTTAGCATATCACCAGTTGCTTGCCAATACTTAGCCCTGGAAGAAATCACTAAAAATGAGGAGACTCCTTTATTGAAGTAGAATTCTCACTGCTTCTTATTATAAGGCTCCCTTTTTCTAAATCAGTGATGAATAAATAGTGCTGCTTAATATTGTTGGACGCCCTTACATGGCAGAATGACTCATCCCTCTAGACAAAGCAGCGTATATACAGTGTATTGGTCACTGTATTCAGCCCAGTGTGCAGGAGCCATTACACTCTGTCTCTCTGGCTAATTGAGGACCACTTAATAACACTGACCAGAGGCTTTTAAGCCAATGAGATGTCATTGATTTTACCTCTTGGTTTGATGCACACGCCCCTTCATTTTCATGACCCGGCTGTCTCTGCTGCTGGCTTTAATAGCTCACTAGAGATACTCACCATCGCTGCCAACTGTGGACACGTGCGTTCACCTCTATGAGGTAGTGGAATGTTCTACATTTACTGTCAGCCCTCCTGGCAATAACTCACTCATCACACCATTTTCTTTCATCACATCCTTCACTTCACGCCCACCGTTTTCCCATGTTGTTCGTTACTCTGAAGTTCTCTGCTCCATAATTCTCTTCACCTCTCTTCACCCTGCAATCATTCATCTGAAATGTAGGCATTTCTCATTTGAAATTGATGGCGTCACTCTGAAGAAAAAAAAAAAAACGTTCATGTTGAATAACTTATTTTAGTTTATATGCTTTCATCTGCGCAGGTGTTAATTCGTGGTTCATGAAAGTCACCCTGCAGCTCCACCCGTGCTGTTAAATGTTTTCCTAGCATAACAGGTGTGTGTCTGTTTGCTCTATCCTCCCCACAGGTGGACAAGGTGTGTGGCCTGTCTACTGGGGAACCTACAAGCATTCGGCCTACTAGCCCAGAGGTCACAACCTCTAGCGTGACCTCGTCTTCTCTTCCTCCATCTGCTGCCCCCTCCCAACCTCTACCCGAGCAGTGGATGAAGCAGTTAGCCCACTTGAGGAGGTAAGACAAAGCAACGGACTTAACTGGGATTCATTCAGTCAGTTTTAAATGTTTAATACTGCTTGTTGTTGATTAAAATGCCTCTTGTTTTGTGGCAGATATTCAGCTGCAGCTATTTTTTGCTTGGTAGTTATTTATACTGCTAGATAGATAGTAAATTTAAAGGTACTGTATGTAACGGATGGAAAGGACTCGGACCAAATTTTCCAAGAAAATCGAAAGGATGTGATGACCCTTAACCAAGACATCCCTTTCTGGCAGACAGCTCTCTAGACAAATTTCTCCAACCAGCACTACAGTGTAAAACAGTAGCTAACATACCCTTTTTCCCCTTTAAGGGCGGTGGCCTTGTGGGTAACCTGTGAGGGTGTGACGTGTCCTTCATTGTATTTGGAGAGAAGTAGCTTGCTCGGTGTGTCATGGTGAAGACGACAAGTGGCAAAGAGTGAAGAAAGTCAGCAGAATTCAGTGTCTAGATAAGCTCAGGGCTACTAAACCTCACAAGAAGGCCATGTTTGTTGTTCTGTGGTAAAGACTGCAATAAAGCCATTGTGTAGCTAAGTCAAAGCAAGCTGGGCAGCCAACGAGCTAACTGTAACCTAAGCTGAGGTTAGCCGACTAGCTGTAGCTGGAGCCGAGTTTCCAAATGAAGTATAGAAACATACAGATATTAATGTTATTCTAAATATGATTTTATTTATTTTCAAGTACTCTATCAACATGATGCTGGTCAATCAAGATCAGTCCCTTGTTAGTCACTGTTTTGGCAGTTGCAGCTGCTGAGGAGAGTTGCGGAGAGAGGTGTCACTAAAAACAAGGATTTTGTGAGAGTTTCATACAGAACCTTTAAGTTAAATGGAAACTAGTCAGGTCTGTATGCCATAAAGTGGGGGGTTGGCTAATGTCTATTCACAGCTGCCATCACTGTTCTCTTTCTACATATGGTAAGTTGGACACAACACACACCCCCACACACATAGTATGTAAATGTAGTGCCTGGCACTGAAGGCCATGCCCTCCACCTGGCCTCTGAGGCAGCCATCCCATGCCCACAGCAGCTGGCAGTGATGCGCCAGGAGAGGGGGAGTGTGGGTAAGATTAATCTTGACGGACCAACAATTTCCTGTTTACCCAGACGGCCATACCACCAACTCTGCACACCAGCCGGCCTCAGCTTAAATAGCATCACACGGAAACACACACACTTGCAGCGCTGCCTGTCTGACCTTGTCCCAAACCATGAATCACTGCACTGATGCCAGCCATAGCTGACAGGTCTGGCCTGGCACTGCCACCACCATTCATGGCAACACAATCCAGCTCCATGCCTGCTGCCAACCCTGACCAGCACACATGTGAGCGTTGACCACTTCAGAGGCATGGCAGCACCCACTGCAGTAAAGGGAGAACCGTCTGCTGCTGAAAAATATGAAATGGGATACAGTAAAGCAACATTTGTGTTTCGTTTTAATGGGGGAAAAATATGAATGTGGAAGCTCAGCAGAACTTTCTTTGGCCATCCTGTGAATATTTAACTGTTTTCACGTGTGCAGATGTTTGCTTGTCTGTTTGTTTACTGACTTAACATATACATTACATACCAGTATCTGTTTTAATTGTTGGTGTGGTGTGGGGAGAAATTGTTATTGATTTTATGTGTGGTGTGGCTAGTCTCTGCATGTGCATGATTAATCACTCTCTTCCAGGGTCAACTGACTGTCTTTTCTCCCTCCTCCCCCATGTGTCGTGTCATCCTTTTGTTTCCTTCTCTCACGTCCCACGTTTCACATCTCTGCATCCTCCTTGCTTGCAACAATGTCCCCTGGACTCCACCTCCCATCATTCTCAGCTCGTTCCCCCTGAAACCCTCCAAGAACAATAAACATAGTCTGAGAACACTCTCTAGGTAAGCATGAACCCAAGGGACTTATTTCTCTCACTCTCTCACACACTCAGCAACGACAGCTCATATTGTGACTTGTATACTTTGTGACATTTCATTTACATAAACTGTTGATTATCTTTGTCTTCTGGGTGCATTTTTTTACATCTTACAAAACCATTTGTGATTCCCGACACTGATTGTCCCGGCACATAACCTCCCATGCCCCCACCTACAGTTTTCGCTCTGCCACACGGGTGGCAACAATGTGTGTCCGATCAAAAATATTATACTATTGTTTTTGCTCAAGATGACAGTGTCTATATCGATAACATGTGTTAGCAGATCTGGTGAAGCAAGCACTTTACCGCACAGCATAATTGCAAAAAATGTGCTGACATAGAGAAGTGGTCACATTCAGAGCCACTCGTTTTCTGCCACCATCAATATCATAATGCGTATTCATCACATGCATGCATTGTTGAATGGAATGAAGATACTGTTTGTTGTTAGTGGTGTGTGGTACCAAAGTATTGGGAAGTGCGTTCACCAACCACACCAAGAATACGACCACAGTCACACAATGCATTCCTCAGTTGTATATTTCTAACCTGGCTTGTGATTTAGAAAAATATGTGGCGTGTATTAAAATGGCTCTATGTCTATGTGTCTTGTTTTTCTGTAGGGAGTTCTTGCTGTACCTGCAGCGCTACAAGTCTTTCTTTGCAGCATTGCCAGAGATGCTGTGTGAAGGAGAGAATGTAGTGGACGACTCCACATGCTGGAGTGGAGATAACGTGGTGGAGAGGTAAGAGAAAATTAATCCTAAACTTGAGATTGTGGAAAGAAAAGACTTGACAAATCAGATTTTTTAAACTAAAATTATAAGACTTTCAGTATCATCTCCTTCAGCTGACCCTTATTGAATTATACGCCCAAAATCCATTGTTCTTTTCAGATTAAAAAAACTTGTGATTGGGCAATGTTTTGTATCTTGTTACACTCCTCTGACATAGCTGTTGTTGCATGAATGTATTTTTGGCAGCACTCTGAGATGACAACTTTCATTTTGTCTAAACGACACGACAGCAGGTGCTGGCTTGTATGTATCCCTTCAAACAGGTCGTCCAGTTTCACCTGAAAAATACTGTGCTTTGAGGTGTGTGAGTTTTGAAAACGTTCAGATTTAAGAAAAACTAACAAACCGTCTGTGTATTTGTTTGTGGGCTTGTGTAGGATGATGTCTGTGAGTCACTGTGGCTGGCTGTTGTTAATCAATGTGGAATAAGGAAGTCATTAAATCCATCTCCACGTTGAGTGAATGCAGGCAGAACAAATAGTTGTGCCGCTCTCCTCTTCTTTGTATTGAGTTGTAATGAGTTGTTATCTGTGCCTTTTTCTCTGTTTCTACCCCATTCTGTTTCTTTCTCTTATTTATGAGGTTTTTATTTTGTGCTGATTTATAGGTGTGGCCCTGGAACCCTTTTCCCGCTTATGGTTTTGGATGCATCTCTCAGAGACTGAAGTTCTTACTCTCTGTCTCTGTTTGTGTGTGTGTGGTTGTGTGCTTTCTCAGTCACCATGAAAAGAACAGAGAAGTGATGCAGATAACTGAGCCAATGCGAGTCTGTAACTGATTCCCCCTGCTGGATCTGTTTCTTAAACGCTGTAGAAACTCAGTCCACAATTATGACAAGGTTATGCTCTCCTTCTGCGGTGGCCCTGAAGTGGCTCCCATTACCATGGCAACCTCAGCTCTTGGCACTGCCAGTTTTGGCCTTGATAGAGGAAAACAGAGGTCCGGGGATGCCTTTTCCCCATGATCCACCCTTAGTGTTTGTCAAATCCTTTGGCCCATGTCCATTTTGCTTGATTAAGCCATACATTATGCTTTACATGAGTACATGGGAAAACATTAGGCACATGAACAGATGTGTCTGATTTCGAAAAGACCCTTTTATTATCCTTAGTGGTTGGCAAAAGCATTTTGTCAGATATTTTCATGAATAAGTTAGACTTTAATTAGCTTAGAAATAGTTAGCTTTCAAAATGTTTTTGTTTTAGTTTGGATCTCGTCTCTTCTCTTCCTCATGTCCTGGCCCGGTACACTCCTACCCTTCCCTGCTGCAAAGGATCTGCCAGTGGCTGAGACATGTTGAGCAGACCACCCATTCATCAGGGCCTGTCACAGTGTGTCAGCACACAAAGTGCAGTAGGCAGCCAATGTGTGTGTGTGAGGTTCATGATCAGGAACATATGAGCAAGTAAACACAGGGCGAGGCAACCATTCGTCACCTAAAAACACAAGAAGTCTAAAATCAGCTTGTTTGGCTGTGTTTAAAGGATAGGCTGTATTAAAGCTGGACAACATGTCTCCACTTCCTCCCACTTTATGAGGATGAAGCCAAAATATCCTGAATATGGGCACTACCATCTTGCACTTTTAAAGCCAGAGTCTGCACAGTAGAGATCAGGAAGTGGAGCCGCGGTATTCACACCTATACACCCATTGGACCCAATCACAAGCAGCGCCATTGATCGTGTTCACACTGATTGATAGGGCTGCCCCCTGAAGGTCGAAGATTCAAATCATCAGGTGGAGAACCCTCAGTCGACTGAGATACATGCAGTGTATTTCTTGGGATGTTTCAGTCCCCAGATGTAGCTGCAGAGTAAGCGCTCCTCGCTTTCATGCTGCTCTCCAGAACAGGCACCTGTGGACCCAGGGACAGTCTGAGTAAGAAGAGGCAGCTGCCTGGGGAAGAGAGGCTTTACCCTGTCCCGCTCCAAAATAACGCCTGGTCATGTACAGCCCTACTGATTGGCACACACAGCTGTCAATCATGACGTCAACCCCTTTTTTTCTATAGCATCAAATAACTAATTAAAACTATCAGAACATACTTCAGTGTGATAAGCAGTACCTAAAATGACAGAAAGTTTGATCGCCATCAGAGGGCGATGGAGATGTTTTGGCTCCACTTTTGGGGAACTGTCATGTCGTCCATCTTTATATACAGCCATTTCTTAAAGCCAGCGCTTTATTTCTGCACGCTGTGTGTGTGTAAGTGAGTGAGTGTGTGTCACTTTTACTACCAAGGGCACTGGTTTTTCAAGAACAGTGCTAATGGGTTGTAACGGTGTGTTATCGCACACTCCCTGGTGAGAGCCAGGCCTTTGCTTGTGGTGTCAAGTGTTCTTTGGTTGAATAAGAAAACATTACCCTACTGAGACATTTGGCACCACTCATAAACTGCTCAGGTTGGCCTGTGGCTATTCAGCAAAACCCTTCCACTGTATCTGACTCTCTTGGCATGTATTCGATTGAGAGGGAGAGAGAGAGAGAGAGGAGTAGGACAGGGCATGAAAAGGGTTGGCGTTTTGGTGCCGCGGTGCCCCCTGTGCCTCCCTGTGCCCCTGATGAGGGAAGCATGATGGAGTGATGTGGGGGAGGAGGGCCTTGGCAGCATAAAGACCCATTGTGGAGTCAGTGGAGTGGGGCACAGCCCTGCCGTGGGGACCCCCAAAGCCTGGAGGGGGAACAAAGACCCTCCTATGAGGCTGCATGGGAAAGATTCGGACATCGCTGCCACTACTACTGCCACTGGCCACACCATGCCTGGGAAAGTTGCATGAGAACAGCAAAGGAGATGAGAGAGGGGAAGATAGTGGAAGGCAAAGACGAAAGTACGGGAAGAGATGAGGAAAAAGTGTGTGAAGAAGACACGAATAGTACGGTCATAAATGGACATGCTAAGCTGCTGTGGCGTTAGTCCATGTCATAGTTTGATTTCCTGTGCAGTGGGCACACAAAGCCTCTGAGGGCTCGGTGGGTTTTCCCCACACACAGGAGGACACAGACACATAAAGGCACGCGCACTCACATATCAATCTACACAGGATCCATATGCTAGTCAACAGCTGGAGGGGTTATTCATTCAGACACAATCATACTGTGCTCAGGCAAGGAGACACACATCCACATGTGAGAACACACACACACACACACACACACACACACACACACATTTGTATGTTGTAATACTTCAAAGCACATCAAAGGCATTGGGGATTGAAATTCCCTTCCTCTCTTTATTCAGCATCTGATGACAGAGGGGCGAGCAGGGGGCAAGCAGTTGTACGTACAACTAAAAGTGCGTGTTGGCATGTATTCAAACATCTCTGAACATTTACAGCATTGCATGTGTGAATACTTTGCACCATCTTTTCCGGAAAGATAAGATCAACCAAAATTGCCACATTCTTTATTTAGATTAGCCAGTTACTGTACAGCTATTGTAGTCGCTGTATCACAGACTTACATCCTTCACTGCCATCTTTCTTACCCATAATTATGCTAATTACCACGCCTGTTTTGTTTTTTGACACATACTTGGAGATAGTGTGGGGGGGTTATGAAACAATGCTGCAGGCTACAGCCACTGTTATGGCATCAGAAGGAGCTTTATTAGCCAATTGACTGAAAACACATGAGAGGTAACCTCAATGAGGGTTTCATTAGGCAACAACTTCTTCTCCCAGACATAACCAGATCCAAAGTAACCAAGTGTGGATGGCAAATCTCAGGGAAATATTACAATTCAGAACACTTTTCAAAGAAAGAATTCCCAGCTGCTCTAAGTATTCAATTCTGGAAATCAGCTCCATAATCCATCAGTAACCAAAACCCCTCTGACCATCATCATCTGATTTTAGATATTTAATCCAGATTGTGGGAAACACGGATAGATGTTGGCATCATTGTGAAGATCCTAAAAGCAGAACACTGTGGGTGCAGCCAGCTGAATTAATAAAAGGAATAGTGATCTGTGATTCAGGGTTGAACATTCGCTTTTTGTCCACATGATTCTGTGGCTGGTGGATCCCAAAATCTACCATCCTACCAATAGTTTGCATGTTTTACCAGTATTTATACTCACCTGCCAGCGAAAAAGCCATATACAGGAGAACATCCCCACTTCCACCTTGGTATCATACCCATCTCTAGTACTATTTCCAACCCTGGTGATTGGTCCCTGTGAAGGGCTAATTCTGAGGTGAAGCCAGTCTGAGCACACATGGTAGCCACCCCCATCCTTTATTTTATTTTTTTATGAGAGGCAGCAAGGCAGGTGTGTAACAGGGTCACAGGTGGCAAAAGAAAGCCAGGTGGAACAGAGGCCACGGTTCAAACGAGTAAACTGTGACCTGGAAAGAGAAAAGGAGAAAAATCATGGCGGGTCAAGCAATCACAGCTAAGACCTTTTGTAAGCAGCTTGTCACGCTCAAGCTGCAACCTTCTGGCCTAAAAAATGAAGCCAGAGGGGAGGCACCAAAAACTGCACTTCCTCTAATGTCCACTAGAGGCCGGCTCAAAAGGACGAGTTAGTCCTCACAGACACCCATGTGAAACCTGTTTGATCAATGGAAGCAAACAGCAAACAACATTTGGATTAACAAAATTATAGTTCCACCCACACCAGTCCGAGAGTCAGACCTCCCCAAATTTGGATTTCATGCTAGTTAAAAGGTTCCATGTACTACAGTGATTTTTTTTTAAAGATCTATGTCCCTAGTGTTGTAAAATGCATTGTAGCAATGGTGGCTTTTGATGTGTTTGATAAAGATTCAATTCAGTTCAGTTTTATTTATAAAACCAAATATCACAAATCACAATTTGCCTCAGAGGACTTCACAGCATACGACATCCCTCTGTCCTTGGACCCTCACAGCGGATAAAGATCAGGACAGCACTCCAATTTTAATTTTTAATATTGCCACATGGACGTTCCGGGCAAGACGCCCTAC